TAGAAAAAGCAAGAGAAACTCAGCAGGGTCGGCATCATCTGTGGAGAGACAAACAAAGAAGAGAACCTGAAGACTCATGCCAGCCTTGAAATGTTAACTCTATTTTTCTCTCTCCATAGATGTTGCCAGACATGCAGAGTTTCTCCAGTATTTTGTGTTTGCACCAAGAAGTGAAATAACGGTGTTTTTCTTCCATTCAGTAGCAAGATAGCTGGCCTGCTATAGGCTGCATTTTAGTATGTCCATCTAATTTTCGAACTAGAGCTTTTGCATTTTGTTATTGAGTCAAGCAGCGTTGCAATAACAAATTCAGTCAGGAGGGAAAATGCCATGTTCCTTTTTGTGATGACCCTTTGTTTCTTCCCACAGTCCAAAGATGTGCAGGTTAGGTGGATCCTAAATTGCCCATAGTGTCCAGGGATGTGTAAGCTAGGTGGATTAGTCATTGGGAATGCAGGTTACAAGGATAAGGTAAGGGGGTGAGTCTGGTTGGGATGCTCTTTGGAGTTGGTTTGGACTTGTCAGGCTGAATGGCCTGTTTCCGCACTGTAGGGATTCTGATTCTGTGAATAGCCCCAGCTTAGTCAGCCTCTCCAAAGCTCAAATCCTCCAACACTGACAACATGCTTGTAAGTCTTTCATGAACCCTTTCAAGTTTCACAACATCCTTCCTATAGCAGGGAGACCACTGCTGCATCAAAGAGTAGTACAGGTTCATTTATCCATTTGAGTCACTGCCTTTGTCAGTCTTCCTTTTTTAACGTGCCGTTGTTTTGATTTTTTTCTTTCCCCAAAATTCCAAAACAGTGCAATAGCTTATGAAACAGTAATTACTGCGCCTAGATTCAAGAAAATACCTCAAAGGAGCAGCTGTTACAGCCACAATTTTTTTCCTGTCCTCCATCTTGAATTATCCAGAATCCTGTTGCTCTAAAAGACTTCCCTTTATAGGGTTCAGGTTTGCAATCAGTTATTTTCTATTTTTTTTTTAATTGTTCAATTCACTGCCAGATCCCTGGTTCTAGACACTGGATTTCAATTGAAGTTGAACACCTAGTTTAACACCTATGCCCCATACTGTCTGTGCTGGGTAGCCAGAGGTGTAAAAGCTGTCTCCAGCTTTCAAGGACCGTAACTTCCCCTCCTCGGTGGTCGAGAACGCCCTCAACCGTGTCTCCCACATCTCCCGCACCTCATCCCTCACACCCCGTCCACGCAATAAAAACCAAAAAAGAATCCCCCTCGTCCTCACGTACCACCCCACCAACCTCCGGATCCAACGCATCATCCTCCGACACTTCCGCCATCTGCAATCCGACTCCACCACCAAAGACATCTTTCCCTCCCCACCTTTTATCTGCTTTCCGGAGGGACAACTCTCTCCGTGACTCCCTTGTCCGCTCCACACTCCCCTCCAGCTCCACCACACCCGGCACTTTTCCCTGCAACCGCAGGAAGTGCTACACCTGCCCCCATACCTCCTCCCTCACCCCCATCCCAGGCCCCAAGAAGA